GGTTCACATCACGTTAAGGTATTAAGTTCTCTTCCCCTTTACTCTTTACATTTTTAAACTATTCTTATCATATCTTTTTTTCTTATTTACAGCTTATTTAAGTTTATGTAACAAGGGAATGACTAAAAAAGCTCTACTTTAAATTTTCTTGCATAAAAAAAATAGGTGATAACGAGAGAAAGACCGCGGCGCACCCAGTGCAGAAGTTGGGAAACAAGATCACTTCGTCAATTAATAAATGTTAATAATACTAATTCTATCTTAATCACCAGGCAAAGCTATTTTTTGTTATTTTTTTCTTTTCAAGGGAATCCAAGTTGTGAATTTTTTTATATTAATTTTTTTTTACTAACCACTAACAAATATTAATGTCAATTATTTATTTAGGAAATGATGGTGGGTTGAAGAAATCACCGAAAAAGAAATGGAAATTGGATCACTTACACACACAGAAGTATTCGTTTAAAATGAAACTTCAACAAAAATTATTTGGCGAGAATCAAATTCTTGCTACTAGTAAATTTAAAATTCAAATTGAGGCTGAATAATAAACTTTAATTCAAAATGACCTGCGTGAAACATTAATTAAGAATAAAAGCAGGTAATTTATTAAATCCATAGATGAAGTGAAGAGAAAAAAACAGTAACAACAGAACTATGAAGAAGTGCTACATCAATATATTTTATAATATCTCTGTCTAAAACCTATGCGATAATTTAATTGTTTTTATTAAAACATTTATTAAATAGATAAAACTTTGAAAAAGAATTTTTTCAAGAATTGAGCAATTCTTAAATAAAAGAAATATAAATAATGAAAAGGTACGAAGTATTATCAGATAAATAATACAGATGGGTATGTATACCACCATATGAAGACATATTTTTACCGTTTTCTTACTTGTTTTTCTTTCTATAACTATCGTATTGTTTTAAAAAGTATGAAATGAACAAAAATGTTACACAGAAAAAAAGGTTCAGAAGGTCCTAAGGAGTCGGGTCTATCTATATAAAAACAAAAGGATTTACTATTACGAGATGCTGTGATAAATTAAATAATAATAAAACTGAAACGACTTAAACTAGTTCTACGTATCTTTCTTTTGGGTCAATCAGTATTTCTTATTTTCTCTTTGTTATATTTTCACCTTTGCAATTTTAATTTTATTGTTATTATTTTAATAACAATCATAATTAATAATAGTCAAATATATGAATGTCCCATTATCATTGTATTACTTTTTGGCAACATTTAGAGAGTATTCTGCATCACTCTTCTTAGAGTTCCATTACTATTATGAAAAGGAAAAACACTATCTAGACTTATTTCTTTTCATAATACAATTTACTTAGAAAGTTTATATTGTAAGTTTATGTGTAATCATAATAGGGACCTTTTCATTGTCTAACTCCTCATATTATATCTTTTTTACACATATATCCCTCTTTCATTATTGTAATTAATGTCACACTCTATCATATTTCCATTGAATTATATGGAGGAGACACCAGCAAACAATAACAACAACAGCATCAGAAAACAAGTAAAATGATTGTAGATCTATGCGAACGGGGGAGATACTAGGGATAACAAAACAACTTACACAGGAGCCGATAACAATAATGTGTTAGCTAAAACAACTTCTTCTCTATCTCAATAGAATATCAATGTGAGTTAATAAATTGAATTGAATTGAATTAAATTCAATTACGTATGGGAAGAGAAGGGGGCCGGACAGCAATCTAGTTAATTAAGTAGATAAAAATATGTATTGAGAAAACGATAAAGATAGAGATAATAATAGTTTTTGACCGAAGAAAAATAAAAAAGAGGTTGATAACTATTAAAGGCAGTGTCTTGTTTGACTTACCTATTGACTAATAATAATAATAACAGTACTTCTGCTACGTGGGAGAGAAAAGGAACGAAACGTAAATAAAGTTGGTTAAATCCGAAGGATAACTATATAATGATTTGTACGAACATCTCTGTATTCAGAATGCTTATAAAGGGGGAATAACAATTTGAGTTGTCAAAATTCCAGTAAGTCACATATTTTATCTCGCTTACAAACTTTTCTTTAATTTTTATTATATTTCTTATGTTTCTTATTTGATCAAGACTAAGGTTACTACTATTTTGAAGTTTCCCCCCACGGGAGTGAAAACGTACTATAATTCAGTAAGCAAACAGTAGAAAAGTATTATAGGCCTTGAGAGTGCAAAATAATATTTTTACTTTTTTCTTCTTCTCTTGATTTACCAGTAGCCTAGGGAGAGATGGGGGAAACTAGTAATGCAAGAAAGACAGAAACAACTTCAAAACCTCATTTCGAAAGGAGAGAAAGTTCTTAGTTTATGTTATTATTCCCTCCTGGGACTTCACAAATTTGTAATATTTTTTTAAAAGTTCTTCTACATTGACTATGATTTATGCTACATTAACTAATCTGTCCGATCGATTCTTTGACTTGAATCGATATTAAGAAAGATAAACAACTACAAAAAAGGAGAGGAAGGAGAAGAAGACGCAGGAGAGAGAATATTTAGTTAACGTTTGATTTAGAATTTTTGTTTATCCGTTTCTTGATTCAGATCATTGTAGTGAGTTTAGGTTTTAAGTGAAACGTTAAGTCTCTACCCCTTGTCTCTGTCTCTATCTCTTGCTTTCTATCTGAGGTGCAATACCAACAGAATCCATCCACATGCTAACGAAACTGACAATAAAATAAACTTAGAAACTCTGTAGAGAAGAAAGCAAATTACAAACTTCTTTAACTATTTTCTGAAAATGTTAATAATTTGCTTTCTGACAGGTTAAAAAAGTTTTAGTACAGAAACTCTCTGCAGCCATGAAGAATTGGAGATAGAAGAAGAAGTTTAAGTAGGAAGGCTCCTTCATCCCTTCCTCATCCTCCTCCTTCTCATAGAGGAACTATCAGAAGGGGAAGGGAGATTAGATCAAGCCAAGGACAATCAAGTCAGTCAGTTACTTTTCAGTTTCGAGGAAAAACAAAATTTTTCATTCACCAAACAAAAACAACAGAGAGAGAACTGCTGGAAAATAAAAACAACAAACAAACAAACAAATAAATTTAAAGGAGAAAAGAAAATATGTACAATAAGAATATTTACTGAAGCAGTCTAGAGATGAAGAAGGAACGAACAAACAGAGAAAGTAATGAAGAATAGAATAAAATAGAATAAAATAAAATAAAAATGACAATTATTGCAACCATATTATACGTCTACATCTGCATAGTTCTAAACGCACAGGGTAAAAACTGTAACGCCAGCAATGGCAGCAGCAATAAGTAACGTTCATTGTTTGACATTTCGAGTTTTCTTGAGTAAACACAGAAACTAAGTATTTTGCACATCTAATGCTTATAGACTTCATATTATAAACTTATGTCTGAATATATTAATGAAGAAATTATGTATACATCTACAGGTAAGCGAAGTACACCGAGTGATCATATCAACTATATACATCATATATATATAAACAGATATGTGTATATTCTTCTATGTATGTGAAAGTGCAAGTCTCGTTTTAATTACATCTGTTCTCTTGCATTCGTCTTATCCTAAACCCCTTCTTAATATTTGTTGTATATTCCTTTTTTCTTTTTTTTCCAAAGTCAATTCAGTTTCTCTTATTTTAGAATTATTATTATCATTAGTCGATATACATATATATATCTAACAGATAAGACTAAATCAATATTCCTTTTTTTATTTTTATTTTATTTAAATTTTATTTCAATTTTGTTCGAGTTTTAATTGTCTTCACATCTATACCATCCATCTGTCGAAAAAAGGACGTTAGACTCAACTCAATTTACATCGAAAATAACATCAAGATAAAACTAATCAGATTTTAACATAACGATAATACTACTTATTTCATTTTAAAATAGTCATTTAATTCGGTTCTATTTTCAATTTGTCTTACTCTCAGATTCATTTATTATTTTTTATTTTTTTCATCATATCCTTCAAAAGAACGTTTGACATATTTTTATTTTGCATACAACAAGCATATATTTATTTTTGCTGTCATCAAGTTAATATTGAAGTCTACTCTATCTTTAGTAATATAATTCCGTGGAAGTTTATTTTACTTTTAAATCTTTTTTTATTTTTCGTTTGGTATCATCCCTTAGGTATATCGTCGAGAAAAAAAAATTTAAAAAACAACAACAACAACAGGAATACAAATTTTAACTTCAAACAATCTCCATTCTAATAATTAATTAACAGGATTAAAAAATTGAAGTATTGCAAATATTTTCTTCTTATTCTATTCATATTTAGAGTCCCTCACAATTAATTAAGCGCATTCTCTGCATATCGTTCTTCTTTTTTTTTGAAAGCTCATTTTATTAAGGAAACAAGAAAAGTTGATCTGCCACATTTAAAATAGTGAACCGAGTATACAAAAACGACTAAGAGATATAACTTTGACGTTAATATAAGCATTTTTCAAATAGAAGTTTAGTCAATTGCATATCTGTATTTGTAATCTTCTACTTTTATCTCTCTTTATTATCATTCTTTTTTTTTATTTTTTTTTGGCCCTGAGATCTCATACATTTTCACAGCCAGAATTTTCTAACTCCACCAGGGCAAGAGGGAAAGGACGAAAAGAAAAGAAAAAAATTAAAAATTATTAAGAAATACGAGAACAAAACAAAACAAAACAAAACAAAGCAAATTAAAGGATAGGCAAAGAAGAGAATTTTAGCAATATACATTCTTTTTAAATTCTTCTTCGTCATTTCAGAAAAGTTTTCTTCCTACCCTTTGTTTAGCAAAAGATTATCAAGAATTTTTGTTACTTCGTTTCAAAGTATTTCGAGGTAGTTCACCTAATTTTAAAACCTAAGCAGGAAAAAAAAGGAAACTAAAACCCTTTTTCATATAATTTCCCAATTAACAATTCATTTTTTGCATCAATACTACTTTTTTTTCTATATCTAATACAACTATTTTAAATGGATATCGAACCAACGTTCAAGGGTTATATAGAAGATGAAAATGATGCACTTCTAATACTCCAAGCTACTCTAGATGGAAAATTGAAACATATACCTAGAAGGCCTTATGAAATCGAGAGACCATATTTAATTGTTTCTGGAAACATATTCGTATTTATCGAGGAGATATCAGGCATCAAGAGATGGACAGATGGTGTTTCGTGGTCACCATCAAGAATAGCCAATAAGTTTTTAATATACAAAGAATTAGATAAGGATAATCCATCATCAATTGCAAGAAGGAAAGCTAGTTCAAGAATAAAATTACCACCTTTAGTGAAAACTAATGTTGGCCAAGATTTGAGTGATAATACTTCGACTTCAAAGAGTGATAGTAATTCTCCATCGTCTTCATTGAGATCTGTCCATCCTTTAAAGTATACTGGGTTAGTGAAAAAGACTATTTCAGTGACTCTGAAACGTCCTCCTTACAATTATTATGAGAATTTCCATATAGTTTCTTATTATACCACAGAAGATGTTAAACAAAATAGATTAATAACTCCAAAGGATTCCCTATTCTTTAGAAATGTCAGACCCTCTCTGGAGTTAATAACAGCGATGGAAAACACTACACTTGGTAATACAAAAGGACATAACAAAAATGCATCTCTAACTCCTTCAAGCACCCCAATGGGTAATATGGAAATGGTTAATATAAATACTGCAGGCAGTAATCAAAATCATTTGAATCCATATGGTCATCCCGGAGTTGAGGCTGGTCCACTAAATGGTAACAATCTAAAGAGTAATCAAAATGGTAGAAATCAACTTGTAAAAAATGAAGATTATTCAACTAATTCATCTTCTACGTTATTGCATACAATGAATCCATACATCCCCCAATCACCTAATCCACAGAATAATAGATATTATGTTCAGCAAGGAAATATACCAAATGGAAATGGGCAGGTCATGAATAGTTCGTATAGTTATCAAAACTCGACGTCATATATGAATTCAGATTATCCACCTTCACAACCACAACCTCAGCAAGCACAGCAACCACCTCAACAACAACAACCACAATCGTTCCAATCGCAAACACATACACAAAAATCTCAGCAGGGGCAAGGTTCACAACATCAAGGAAATGTACCCACTGTGAACTCGTATCCTTTCTATATATCCAGTACACCGTTCAGTAATCAAGGTTATTCGGATAGCTCAGCACCCAATGCAAATTCAGGAACTGTACCGTCATCATATTATGCACAGAACGAGCAAAATGGCACAAGTGCTACAAACAATCTATCGTCCATTACGTACAATGCAGGCCCATACCCTGTATACCCAGTAAATGTGAACATGTCATACTATGGTGGGAATTCTGCTTTTGGGAAAGCCAGTCATAGTGGTGCTGCTCCAAATGAAAATAGTTCTGCTGTAATGACTCCCGCGATGAATATGCCCGGAAAAGGTAATGGACCCGTAAGTAACCCTGGAATGGGAAATGGATATAATTCTATCGCCGTTCAACAAGGTCCTATGCATAACCAACAGAGTCATAACATTCAACAGCAACAGCAACAGCAACAGCAACAGCAACAGCAACAGCAACAGCAACAGCAACAGCAACAGCAGCAGCAACAGCAGCAGCAGCAACAGCAACAGCAACAGCAACAGCAACAGCAACAGCAACAGCAACAGCAACAGCAACAGCAACAGCAGCAGCAACAGCAACAGCAGCAGCATCAGCAGCAGCATCAGCAGCAGCAGCAGCAACAACAGTATGCGCAACCTCAACAGATGCCATACCGAACGAGTGGTGCGAACCATAGCGGTTATGCCAATACGCCACATATCCAGGCCATGCCTCAAATGTATCAATACCAGTCTCAATCTTTACCACAATATCAACATCAAGTTCCAGGTACGGCACAAAATGTAGCATATATGTATTCAAATATGCCGTATGCAGCTTCAAATATGACCAATGGTGGATCTTCGGAAACCGTTAATGGCTCCACAAATGGAACAAGTAATCATATAATGGGGTCATCTATAAATGCAACACCAACAGGGGCTCCAAATATGCAGACCAACAATATTGAGACTAATTCAAATAATAAGGTACCTGCTTCGTCAAACATGAATCAGGGAGCTCGCTAGAAATTTTAATGCTAAAAGCAACAACAACAGTCAAATACGCATTACTGTATAGAAGCGATTGCATGGATTGGAAAATCGAATCTGTTTCTTCTACGTTTCCGATATCAGAATATATAATATCAACATTGCAAGACAACTTATTATATCGGTAAGATCGAAAAGAAGTAACATGAAGTATCAATGATAGAATCAGATTCTGTAAAAATAATAGTTTGTAGTAATAGATAAATTGTAATTAATAATTGCTAACATAATGAAAACTGAAAATTTAATGCGTGACCGGATATGTTTAACGCTTTAGCCTAGTATCTGGAGCATATATATGCTGAGATTCATAGCTTTCAGTAATGAGAACTTCGTTTTCTATGTATTTTGACCTATTTTTGCACTAAGCGTAATGCTGAACCATTGGGCTCTAAGAATGGCTACGCTCTACACACTTTTTTTTTTCACTTTCGCACTTGAAGTTTAATAAAGAAAAGGTGCGATGACTTCTCAAGAGAAATTGATTAATAATCAGATTCTTATTAAATTAAGACTCGAAGAACATAAAGTTTATTTAGGTGAACTACTAATTTTTAGGTTCATTTATAGCTCCAAAAAAGAAGAAGCGTATATTGTTTGTAAATATTTGATTGTTTAATCTTTTGTAAAGTAGAATAAGAAACAACCAAGAATTAAAATGAGTGAATTTGAAGAGGAACAAGAAGAAGGTCCAGCTCCATCGCTTGCCAAAATAAAGCATATCATCCTTATTTTGTCTGGAAAGGGTGGTGTAGGCAAGAGTTCTGTTACTACCCAGACTGCCCTATCGTTGTGTGAAATGGGATACAAGGTGGGTGTGCTAGATATAGATTTAACAGGACCATCCCTTCCTAGAATGTTTGGCTTAGAAGATAAATCCATATACCAAGACAGTAACGGGTGGAGGCCGGTTTCAGTGGAAACAAATAATGAGGGCTCTTTAAGTGTCATATCTATTGGGTTTCTTTTAGGTGGTAGAGGTAACAGTGTTGTGTGGAAAGGTCCAAAGAAGACAGCTATGATCAAACAATTTGTAAAAGATGTTGCATGGGGAGAACTGGATTATCTCTTGATTGATACACCTCCAGGTACCTCGGATGAGCATATATCAATTGCTGAACAGCTGAGATTTTCTGGTCCTGATGGCGCGATCGTGGTAACAACCCCTCAAGGTGTAGCTACTGCTGATGTAAAGAAGGAACTAAATTTCTGTAAGAAGATTGACCTGAAGATAATCGGGATCGTCGAGAACATGTCCGGCTTTATCTGTCCGCATTGTGCAGAGTGTACTAATATCTTTTCAAGTGGTGGTGGTAAGGCCCTTGCAGATGAATTTTCCATTCCATATCTTGGAAATATCCCAATCGACCCCCAATTTGTCGATATGATCGAGAATCAAAAGAATAGTGAAAAGACTCTATCTGAATCATACAGCGTGTCATCTATACACTCAATATTTCATGAGATAATCCAGAAAGTATTAGATCAGAAACATCCCGCTAGATTCTAAGTTTATTAATGTAGGATGTGTGAATAGTTGAAATGCATATATTACATAAGTATTACTTGTGTATTTTAATAGAAGAAAGAACATCTATAAATTAAGAGTTCGCTAGACGTTTAGTTTAACGTCTTCTCAGTTTTGATTAGAAAGATGCGCACTAGTAATGTTCGAGGCACTGATGTTCTCCATCGTTGTTAATGTTTTTGCCGAACTGGGCTTCTTAAACGAACCTAGAACAAAGGGGCTTGAAAGAGAAGTCTTGATTCTATTTCTATCTCTAACTGTAAAAGTTGAAGTTTGAATATTTGTACTGGAAATAGTACTACTCAAACTAGCATTATTTTCATTATCGACATCATTTAGAATGATGGGAGATATAACTATATCATCATTATCTCTATACATATTTACATTCTCATTTGCCGTGAGAGTATCATCAGTAATAATGTTGAAATTGTTGTTAATTTCATTTGCGGTGTTCTGTATATCACTATATTCTCCCTCTATGCCCTCTACTGGGCAATCAGGTTCATCACCCTGAAGATCAATGTGACCCAATCCTTCAATGTAGTCAATATTAGTCTCGTTTGGGTTTATTTCCTCTGGGGTATGTGGGTCTAGTAATGTAGGATGTCGCTTCTTCAACAAAGCAAAAATTATTGGATAATGTCTCTCATTAATTGAATCTGATAACAACAATCGTTGGTTCTTTCTTAACTTCATATCAACATCTATAAATTTGTTCAAAATTTGTTCTTTTACAGTGCTAATATTTCCAATTCTTTCATCTAACTCTTCTATATTATCCTTTGTCAATTGAAATCTCTTGGAACCATGTGTACTAGTTCCATACTTATGCCGGAATCGTAGATTTTTCATGTAAATATGATTAATTTTCTTAGCAGAGCCTCGTAGTCTTTCATCTAATTTTGACATTTGAGCAGTTTCACTTCTTATATCGGACTCAATTACTTTATGAACAAACTGCAAATCCTCTAACACTTGATTCAGTTCAGTCTTAACTGAACTAAATAATGAGTCTAGGAGTACATCCTGACTTCTGACAAAAGATGGCATTGCTTTCAACTTATCGTAAGACGTGCTTCCTTCAATAGTTACAAATTTCATTCTTTTCAAAGATACTTCCCACAATGAAACAATTTTATTGTTGTTCAGTTAATATCTTACAGGTGTAAAGTAAAAGATAACAACATCATCTTTCGTTAACTCGATACTGTGTAACATTAACAACATTATATGGAAACTGAAATATGTGTGACTTCCAATATTTTGTTTTTTAGGGAAACCGCAGAGTCAGTCGGGCGTTTACCTGTTTAACCAAATAACAAATTTCTGAACGGGATCATCAAATGGTTAACCAAAAACAAGATGAGATGAAAAATAACTCATATGAAATGGGTTGTTGTGACTTCAATATTTGAAATTAGAAATGTGAATTCTCAGTTGTGAAGACAAACCAAGGTATAAAAATAAAGAAAACATGGATAGTAGTGCAATAGTAATGAATACATTAGTGTTTGTTTTTGGAGGTTGTTGTACTAATGTACTCACGTTGGAAGATTTGATTAAAGACAAAAACTCAGATATTGGTACATTAGTGACATTCACACAATTTCTGTTTGTTGCATTATCATTGTTACCAGGATTTGTTTTATTTGAAGGTGGCATGATCAGACTTAAACAATTGAATGTGCCGTTGAGAGTCTACATCTGGTCGGTTATTCTATTTTATATTAGTTCTTCTACAAATAATAGCGTTTTCAAATATAATATTTCAATTCCGTTGCATGTTGTATTTAGGTGTTTCGGTACTGTGATTACTATGATAATAGGTTGGCTGATTAACAAAAAGAGATACTCACGCTTACAAGTCATATCCGCCTGTCTCTTGACAATAGGTGCAATAGTAACATCACTGTATCGAGACCATGAGTTTTCATTAGAGGCTGTACATTCATGGTGGGTCCATAAACGATATCTTGCGGAAAAAAGTGACCATCAGAATGATACAACATTTTTAATTGGTATATGTCTCTTGGTTATATCTTCAATTTCTTCAGCATTACTTTCAGTTTATAACGAATGGACCTATAAAACATACGGAAAATACTGGCAAGAAAATCTCTTCTATACCCATTTTTTATCACTACCAATATTTATTGTTAAAGATGGTACTCACATAATGACAGGGTATCAACAATTGATGGGATCCAGTTTTAGAATCACTCGGAGCCACATTGCATTCGCCCTAAATATAATAACGCAGAATATATGTATACGAGGTGTTAATATACTTGCAAGTCATACCAATGCACTCACTTTGTCAGTAATTCTTACAGTACGAAAATTCGTGAGTCTTCTATTGAGTGTGGTGATTTACAAGAATGTACTTTCATATACTAGTTATGTTGGGGTGGCGATTGTATTTTCAGGGACATTGTTATACATATTAGGGTCTCGAAGACCATCTTCAATGGTCTCATCCACCAAAAAATCTCAATGAATTGGAGTATTTTATTAATTAATTCATTGAGATTTGATCAGAGATTTGTGACATTTTACTTCTACCCATGTATGCGCTGTGCAAAAAATCGATGAAGATGGAAAAAAAATCAAATGAAAAACAAAACAGATGGAAGATGGATTGAAACTTATGAACTATTTTAGAGATCATGCAAGAAACCATGTGAAGTTTGTTTAAGATACATTGGGAGTGAACCTTTCAAGGTAAAAACTAGCCATAAATATATCTATACATATATAACCATTATTATACAATGAATAGAGTTAACGGTATGTTTCAATGGAAATCCTTTTTGTAGATCGAATATTTTGTTTTTTTTACTAACATGAACCCATTAATATTTTCATATATATATAGAATCCTTTCAAATAACGTACAATAATTACAAGCAATCCCTGGAGGAACTTCAAAGTAAGATTATCGAGCTAGGTCATGACTTGGAAGAACATGATGTGGTGATTGATACTTTGTCAAAGACTGACGACAATAGAAAATGTTACCGTATGGTAGGTGGTGCACTTGTGGAGAGTAATGTAGTGACTACTCAACCTATTCTGGTTGTGAAGAGAGATAATTTGCATGAAACTATTGGTAAATTAAAGGCTGAATTGGTGAAGACAGCGTCTGCGTTTGAGCAATGGAAAAAGGATAACAAGATCCAAGTGGTGAAGCAATAGTGGCAAATGTTCGTAAAGACTAACAAACATATAGATATTCACATACATACATACGCATATATTTATATGAACAAATTAATTAGTTCAATTTAATAATTATTTTTTCTTTACTTTTTTTTTATCTTAAAAAATTATACAGTTATGTGCAGTGTATATAACTATTTGCTTTCTATACAAATGGACATTTTCCTAATTCACTCCAATATATTTTTGAATTTTTGAAAAAAAAACTCAGCAAGGAGGAAGAGAAGAAGTAGTAGGAGTTCAATTGAAATCAGTTGGTCTTCTTTTCAGTGGATACACCTTCACTTAGAGAAGCTGGAGTAGAAATGAAGAAAAGGACAAAAGCAATAAAACTAATGATTACAGTAGCGATAGAAGCCAAGTAAACCCAAGCGTTTGGAATCTCAAAAGATCTTGGGTATTCATCGTTAGCCAAATGACGGATTGCCTTAATGTCAGCTTCATGGATATAAGAAAGACCAGATCTCTTGTAATCGGTGATGAAAGTGAACATACCGTGACGGTTTGGTAACATGAAGGAACCTGTGGAGTATAGTTCAGAAGCTGGATCTTGCGGAGCTGGGCCTTGTGCAGTCATGGTGATACGGTAGTATGGATCAATTTGTCTCAATTCGAATTGAACATCGTCAGAAACGTATGGAACCCATTTTTGACCATCCCATTGAGTTAGAGCAATGGTGTAGGTTACGTTATCGGTGACCTTGTAAGGTAATTCATCGTAAGAGACTTTGTCATCACCAGAGTGGGTGTGGCTAACCTCGGTAGCTTTAATGACAGATTTTTCTTGTAAAGTCCAACTAATCAACTCATTAATCAAGTCTTGATTTTGTTTGAAGTGATTGTTACTTAAGAATTTAACAGAACCAATCCAAGTAGATCTAGTATTCTTCAAGTTTTGGAAACCGGCAATGACATAACCTTGAGACCCGTCAGTCCAACTAGCTTCACGAGATTTGTTACCACTAGTGAAGGAAGTTTTGGAAGCTTGTAAGATAGGAACGATTTGTTCACGATTATCCAACAAAGCAGCAGAGACGGATTCACCGAAATTGAATAGTTCATCTTTCTTTTCGTTTGTCTTGGAGTAAACGTTTTCATTTTCTAATTGATCAACAGAGAATAATAAATCTGTAGAATCTTGGAATAAATCATGTAAGGATTGAGTACGTGGAGAAGGATAGATACCTAATTGGTTTAGATATAGATGTATTGGATCGGAGGAAACTTGAGGGACGGTCAAAGCCAAAATATTACCACCATTTTCATTGAAACGTATCAATTTCTTAGCGGCCAATTGTTTAGAGTAATGCTTACCTTTCACTGGGAATAAGATTAGATGGTCGTATAATCTAGTGTCTCTTTCAAATAAGTTAATTTTTGTGGATTTATCTGATAATTCTAGAGTGGTAACGTCGAATTCATGATCTTTTAATAAGTTGAAAAAATCAGAATATGTGGATAGATCATCTACTCTGTCATCAAAGACAACCAAAGTACGAGATCCGACAGCAGATTTAGCGGCAGCCAGTATGGAACATACCAAAACTAGGAATAATTGAATATAACGTAGACCTAGCATTATTAATCGACAATAGTATGGTATGAGCTACTGATAACACTTTAAGAAAAATAATAATAACTATGAATCTAAAATACCAATTGAGTACAATCTAAAGTTATTATAATAATAATTATAGCGAAAAGGATATACAATAATTAATAGATTCAAATAGATATATATATATATCAACTGTAAAATATGAAAAAGTTGTATTGATTACACGTAGTTCATTACCATGAGAGACCTGCAAATTATCAGTATTATCAGTATTACTATTACTTAATTTTCTGTCCACCACATAATTTTTCGAATTAAAAGGGTAGACGTGTTATTTTCACGCGACGCGTATACATATATATATATATATGTATGTGCAGTGTGTTAATTATCATGTTGTACGTCATATTAATTTGATTATAGCATGGTGCCGCTGCGATTCCATTATGATTAATATAAACAACATCACCAGTATATATACATTACCGAATATATACATACGTATGTATTAGAATGGTACAGTCCTGTTTACTGTGATAAAATATTAAGTAGCCTAAACTAATTAAGAATGAAAATACAATCTTATATTGTGTATTGCAACGTATATAACTATATAACTATATTACTATAACGATATAGATTGAAAATAGGTGTCAAGAATATTTCTCTTGCGGTGGCGAATGAGGAAAAATGAAGTTGGGGAGAGAAGGAAAGAAGTTGGCGACTAATTGTGCAGATTATTTATATATATATATATATATATATAAATATATAGCGTAATTGTTCTTTCTTGTTATTCTACCTTTATTTGATTTGTAATATGGTTTCATTTTTATTATAAGACCTCTCGGGTGAATAGAATAACACTTCACCCAGTTAATAATGAATGTGAGTTCTGACAAGTGCAAATCTGATCTTTATTTCCTGTACCATTAATTTGTATGTTACAGTATGGTTTCTCCAGATGCCAAATTAATCTTACTATCAAGATAATTGTATGAACAGAGACTATCAAAATAACAGAATAAAACAACAACTAATGTGAATAACCATCGTTAATGAATGTAACTATAGTTTTATATTGACTTCATTCGGGTGTATAATAATAAATGCGGTAGCCGTTATCACTTAATACGGATTATAAAATTTTCAAAATATTTTTATAAAATTTAAATTGAGCGGCGTGCTAAAATCCGTCTCGGCGGCGTTGGAAAGAAAAAAAAATGTGGTGGAAGTTATTTTTCAAATTCGAAAAATAACATATTACTTAATCGCATCGCTGAATTTCTGCTTCTACGTTGGGGGCACGCACTGGTATAGTGAGTATTTTTTCCGCTGCATGCTAATCTCTTCCTTTCCATCATCACCGTCATCACCATATTTTCTCTATTTTTTTTTTTGACACACATTGTTCATATTGGCGATGAGCAAGTATACTACTGTCTTTTTTTTTAAACAATTTTCAGTTTATAACAGTGAAACGAATTTTGATTAACTTTACCACACAGTACTTGTATATCTTACTGTACCCATATATCGTGACAAGCAGATATATAGACAGATAACGAACGAAAGTTACATGAAGAAGTATAACAATATCGACAATAAGAGAATGCAAGAAATAGCTTATTATTAGACTATGAACGCACATATGAATATAGATAGTAAAAGTGAGAATAATAATAATACTAATAATAACAAGAAAAGCAGTAACAATATGAATGAACCTAGGATCCCAGTTGTCGTTAACACAGATAGTATATTGGACGATATTAAGGAAGAGTCTAATATTAAAGAAGAAGAAGAGGTAGAAAATAGTGATATTGATAACAATAACAGTCTCATTAATGTTAGTATTAAGGAAGAAGATTATAGCAATGACGAAGAGGACGATAATAAAACTGTAGAACGATCTACAATGATGGTATTATCATCTGTGTCGTCTGAAACATCATCAGATCATTCTGTGATAATACACCATCATTCTCATAATCAAAATGGTACAGATAACAACAACAACAACGATAATAATAACGATGAAGACATAAGTGCGATAAAGGACACAAAGGATGGGGAAGTTTCAATACCATTATCAACTAGCTCTATCGCAGTGGATAAATTTGTTAGCAACGAAGAGCTTGTTTTATTACCACCTTTACCAAATGAAATAGATTTACAATTAGAAACACAGAATTTAACAGGTTCGTTAACAAATTCAAGTAATAACGAAAACAACGATTATATTACTGCAACAAATAATAATATGACGACAACCATGGTAACCGACTCATTTACACGAGGCTCATTATTAGATCCTTCTTCATTAACATCTAACTCAACGCCAGATAATGAGTTAAAATCAATGATGCTACTACCACAGGACACTGACATGAGTAATAATACAAATAATACAGGAAATCACATAGAAAATGTGTCAGAACTTAGGGTTACACATGCTATGATGAATATATCACAGGGGAGCCCACTTATGCTAACACCACTTTCTGAAGACGGAAAGATATCTCCTTCAGAATTTAATAATGGTTTGAATTCTTCTTTTGATTTATCGAAAGCGTTTGAAATGCCATCATCATCAACACCAACTGCGGACACCGAGAACAATATAAGTATAGTGAGTACAATTCCTGAACACAGACGATTAGATTCAAATTCTTCCGCGACGATATCACATAAATCATCATCAATTCTGACTAAAAGATTATCAAACAAGTCAGTTACACCGATTGAAAATAAAGATCCAATAAGAATATTAAGGAATGAAGAAAAAATTTACCAAATGTCAAATATTAACCAACAAGAAAATAATAAAAATAAATGCCAACAGCAACATGAATTATCCGTCGATCTTTCTACCGAAGTTCATATTCCTTACGTCTCAGACGCTTTATCTTCCGACGAACCAGATTTGACACCATTGACTACACATTCAATAATTCCACCAAAGAATAAAATTTACAACCTAAATAATGATACAAACCTAGATCTAATGGACATATCTTCTCAGACCACATCAAATAAAAAGTTACCATTTTTAAGAAGGGCGTCAAGCACGTTGTTGAGGAAAGCGTCAATGAAGTCACTTTCGAGACAGGACTCTAACCTTGTATCTACACCTAGATCTTCCGGGACTACACCTATATTAGCATCCCCATCTCAATTTGGAAGTGATGTAGTTAGGACAAGATCTAACAGTGTCTTACAAGAGACTACTTCAAGGAGGAAACCTGCAATGAAGAGGAACGTTTCATTTGGTTCCAGAATGAAGAGAAGTTTTTCTAGGATCGTAAGTAATGGAATGTCAAACAACGTCGAAAATACAAATACCCCAACTTCATCCGATTCTGAGAAATATTCAATTTTACATTCAGTTACCAATGATATAATCACTCCGACTAAACCTGATAGACAGTTTCCGTTATATACTACATTGACTTCTCAACAGCAACAGTCGTCATCAAATATCCAATCCCCGCTAGATATAATACGACGGACACACAGCTTTACTCCAACATCATCATCTATGTCTGTAACTCAACCAAGAGGTTCTTTAAGTTCTATCCCTGGAATCAGTACACCACTTGGCTTAAATGGGAACTCTGCAACAAAACAAAAGCAACATCAGGGAACAAGTAAATATATCGAAATAAACATGACACTACTAAAGGATACAAAATTCGTCCCACCTACAAACATAACTGATCAAATTGTAAACGATGCGAAGACTCTGGACAGAATTCTTCAACAATCGAAACTATCTTTATTACCATCATCATATGGATCTAATTCTTCGTCGACAACGCCTCAGAATTTAACACATTCACTGGCATCTTCTAATAGTACCAAACAGGATATAAAACTAGAAAAGCTTTCTATTAAAAAATATGTATATTTGTTGACATCATTAAAGGATGAAGAGATACAACAATATGATGCAATAATCAAAAATCTAGAGGGCCATGGGTGGTATTCAAAACAAGAGATAGATAATATGGTTCGCAAGAAAGATTTATTAAACAAATTGTGGAAGGATAGAATATCGTTTTATCAAAATCAATTATAATATACCATACCAATTGATGTAACTAACCATGATCTTATCCATATCCTAATCAAACAGACAATAATTAACCATTCTTAAACATTTTAAGAGAAAACAAAAACAGTATTGGAAAGAATACCAATACCGATAGGAATATATATTCCCTGCATATATTAAGGCATTATCAATATTTAAGTCAGATATCTATTTGTACAAATCAATAGCGTCATGAACTATTCTAAATAAGCATATGTAAACACTTCAGTACACTAAGAAAGACTATCATTGAAATTTTAACAACACATTCTCTTATCAATAACAAATGGTTATCCAAAGAATTATTAAGTCCAACCAAACCTGAAGAGACAGTTTTACTTTGAGAACATAAAAGATTGATTAAAAACAAAAAGAACAGTACTAAACTGTCGCTGTCATTGGAAATTTTGGAAATCTACTTCGAAAAAAAAAAGAAAGTTAGCACTCACACTGGGGGTCGAACCCAGAATCTTCTGATTAGAAGTCAGACGCGTTGCCATTACGCCATGCGAGCTAAATTTCTCAAAGTCCTTAGATTTTGAGAACATGAAGAAATAACATAATAGTCACGTGACTATTATGTTATTTCTGTTAAACAGAGTTGCTGTTGTTAAACTGCTCATCTTTTGTGCATAGTAACGTTAGACAATATAGCTTCAATAAACCTAATGAAGGGGAAACAAATACTACATTATGCAGTGCAGCACACTCTAAATTCTACTTATATTAGCTACCTTCTCCTTCAGATAGGTTAAGCTAATATTAGCCTTTCTAGTGCTACCGCTACATTTTAACAATTTGTAATACATGTGTTCTCAATACTTACAAATTCAATACTTTTATTGATTATAAATTGTAAATTAAAGGAGGTAAAAAATTCACCCAGTAGTTTTAAAATGCGTTGCACTATTATTTATTTTTTCTGGTACGAAGTAATTTAAAAATCAACTAGATATATACTGACCATTCTCGTTTCTACTTAATATACCTGAGGAATAACAAATTTAGAATATCAACAATGGAATCACAATATATAATAAAATAACATGCAATATAAGAAATAAATAAAATGACAGACCACACATATATATAATATACAATAAAAAGCAAAATAAAAAAATAAATAAAAAATACTGATCACTATTAGATAGGCAAAACATTAGTAACAGCTAGGAGCGACATTCCAAACATAAGTCTTGACAACTCTACCATCCAGTAAGTTAATGCAAAGACGAACAGGGCGAGCATAGTACGACAAAGGAACATTGATACATTACCACAAGTATCTAGCAAACCTGCGGCCATTACTAGAAGAACAGTTAAATGTTTTAAAAACAACTCGGTCAGTGGAAATCTGGGTTCTCTTTTACTTAGCCGAACTCCAATATCTAATTCTGATCCATTAATTAAATGATCGTATGAAACGTCAAGTGCTGTTTCATTTCTTCTAATAATCTTCAATAACTGTTTGAATTGATCTTTTGAAAGGGTTGCAACATGTTTTGCAGCCCTTACAAACATGTCCTTGGGGCTATAATCGTTTGCAAACTGTAATGCTTTTATAACTTGGTCACAATTAATCTTCTCGTACATATAGGAATTTTCAAAACCTGCATCTTCCATCATATGGGAAAGTTTGTGTTCAAACAACTTTGTAAGAACAAACTTACATTCTTGTCTTTTATCATATTTGGAATTAAAAGAACTGACCAATTCTCCAATTAATTTAGTACAATTATTAGACACCTCAGGATGATAATTGTCCCTGATAAAATTAGTGACATTATTCACAGAAGAATTGAATTCTTCATTATAAGTAGGTCTATGGAACCCTTTAGCTTGAACCACTAAAATGTTATAGAATAATAAAGTAGCAGCAATAACTTGGAAGGCTTTCATAGTGACAAATGTAAGTAATAGTTCAATAGTTTAACGATAGTTATTATGTTATGAGTTATTTATTAGTTGATAGTAAACATAAACAAACAAACGAAAGCGTTGGGAAAGCGATAATATCTTTTGAGAATTTTAGTAGACAGTCCTGACTGCTTATATATGTTTCCCTTTGACAACTTGCTATAGCAAACAAAAGTTCCTAATATTTGCTATACCTTTTTCGTTACCCAGTTTCACCCATTATTACAGTATAATTCTGTAGAACTCATGACTCCAAGTTACCCAATAAGTCACATTAAAATGGGTAAAAATAAGAAGCAAGAATAATTTATTATCAATATTAGTAATATGAAATGTCGTTACCCACCTCATATCGTAGAAACTATGAAATAACCCAATTATAGCAAAATATGTGACATGAATTATTTAGGCTGACGGCGGTGGGTAACAATATTTATACCCCTAAAAAATATAAAAAGGGTATTACCTAAAAACACAATAACAGATCCATAACCATACGCAATGCTGATAATATAATCCAATCAAAAATAATACCCATTCCAAATCCAGATCAGTAGATTTATTCTCATCCAAAACTTGGTGTGATGTACAGTCGTGACGCCAACAATTATTTTGAAGATCATGAAAACTCCGCAGTTAATTACATTTTATTAGAACCTATCATTATCAAAAAAACCCAGATATCATTCTATAGCTAACAAAAACATCTAAAAATACCAACCAAGTAATACGATGACTCTCCTACTCATACATATTGTTCTACGAATGTGTATTCCTTAGTAGTTCTTGCAACTATGTTTGTTGACTCTAGTGTGTCTCTTATAAATTAAATATTCTTCTTTCTCTTTTTCCCCTCGATGAAGCGCGATGAGCTAAATTGAAAAAAATAGTAATGATAATGATAATAATAAGAATATAAAAGGAAAAGTAATTAAATTTTCATATTAATAAGCCTCACCTCACACTTTTAGATAGAACGAGAGAACGGATCACGTAAGAAGAACAACATAAAGAAAGAAACATGGTTAATATCAAAGTGGAGTTTCTAGGTGGATTAGATGTTGTCTTTGAAAAAAAACGTACATATGACTTGTCTATCCCAACTGATGGCGTTGATAGTTTCACCATGAAGGATCTGTTAGATTATTTAGTATCGAATATGATTAAAAATCCAAATGATGTTGAGGTTTTCATTGAGGATGATACTGTTAGGCCCGGCATTATAACTTTGATCAATGATGCTGATTGGGAATTGGAAGGTGAATTAGAATATGAGATTGAAGATGGTGATGTTATTTCATTTACTTCAACTTTACATGGTGGTTAAATAATATACGAACATAACGTATACATATACATATATTTATTGTCCAAAAACACTTTAATAAGAAATTAATAATTAAAATATAAAATTAGAATTTAGTTTCTTTTTATATATAAAAAAAAAAGTTTATGTATATATATATAAAAATGATGAAATTAAAAACAACAACATAAGTAGTAATTAATGTTGTTGACTTAATAGACTTTTTAATCTTGCAACTTCGTTTTCTAATTCGGAGTTTTTAGATAATAAAGTTTCTACTCTATCTTCTAATTGATTCATTCTTTGTAATTTTCTAGCACGAGAACGTCTTGCGGCTTCTGTGTTTCTAGCTCTTTTCAAAGTGACTGGATCATCAGAAGCAGTAATTACCGGAGTTAAAGGAGCAGTACGAGCTTTACGATTGTAAGCAACAACACCAAGATGATCGATCTTGTCATTTGTAGTAGAACAAGAAGATTTCTTGGAGATACGACCAGTAAGAGCAGCATTTTTTTTAATAGATTTTGTTTTCATTGATAGTAATTCTTCATCTTCAATGATTGGAGTTGGTAAGAACGAAGTCATTGAAGCCATTTCAAAGGATTCAAGACCAGAGACGTTAGCCTCAGTAGCTTCGACAGCTTTATCATTTGACATGACATCCTCTTCTGTAACAACAGGAATATCGTTATCGAATAGAGAAGTCCATTCCTTTGGATCGTTGTTACTAGTTTCAATAGTATCGTATTCAAACATTGGAGTTGAATCAGTACTTGAAGAGAAGAATGCATCGACGACAGCAGAATCTAATTCATCATTATTAAGATGATCATTGTTATTATTAGTTAACTCCAAAGAAAAAGACATTTCAGGTTTAACAGTATTGTTTGATTGATGAAATAAAAGTTCATTATCATCGATTATACCTTCTGACTTAATCATAGGAGCAACATTAGTAGAAATTGAATCAACTGGATCTATTTGATCGACAGTTGATCTAGCGAATAAGGTAGTATTGTAATTGGACATGATATGGGGGACACTTAGGATTGATTGATTGTAAATTGATTGATTGATTGATTGATTGATTGATTGATTGATTTTGATTGTAATAAATTTTTGTTTTTTGGGGTTTGGGGGGTTAAGTTAAAAATTGGAATAATACCATATTGATTTAATAATTAAAGACCGTTACGGACACATGATTGTAAAATATAATATAAAAAGTAAAATTGAGGGGGAGGATAAAGATTAGACAGAGACTAATTTCTTAAAAGTTAAAGGGTTGTAAGTATAAAAAACAACATTTTATTGTATTCTTTTAAAGGTGTAAAAAAAACAAATTAATAAATATATATTAATTCAGCACATAATTTGATAAACGAGGTGGGTGTATAAGATTTTTTTATATTTTTAAAAAATATTTAGTTAGACATTTTATTTTCTTTTTTTCTTGATGATGTAACTCTATGTGTAAAAAAATAATAATAAAATATGTAAATGATTCTTAAAAAGAAAATCTGGGTGTTTATGTGTTGTTGTTTTAAGTGTTTTGTCCGTTACCTACTTTTAAAAATTGCAAAAACTAAAAAATGGAAACATAATTCAAGAAATAAGAAGTGAGAGTGCTTGAGAATAATAATATATATATTTTTCATTAGCTTAAATATGCAACTATATATATATATGTTCAAAGATAGCTTCAAATCGATAAAAAAGAGAGAGACAGCGAAAAAAACAAATTCCACATATCAACAGATTTGTGTATCTTTAAATATACACCGTACAACAACAATCGGATAGATAATTAATGTATTAGTCACACGATTTTATTAGTTTGCAATAGTTATCTTACACCCACACCTCCCGGTATTCACACCCACACTTTGCATATTATTGCATGGTGTGGTGTGCGGGTGCACTCGGTGTGTCATCCCGATTCCCGATTATATTTGCTGCGCGTGTGACGATGGAGCCGCACCGCGCATCGCCGGTTCCGGGAGCTGTCGTTTACAGTGATGTGGGCAGGATGCGTGTCACGTGTCACGTGTGCAGCCGTACCCAGTGATACTTTTGGCGACGCGAAAAAGGACATGTTCAACCCTAGAGGTTAGGGTTTAGCAACCACTACAGAAATTTCATTGCAATGGGTTACATAACACGTCAGCAGCATAACGTGTCAATACAATTAACAAATCAATGAAATTTTGTCAGATATGTTTTGCTTACCATAGTTACTCTGTCAATCGTATATATATATATATATATATAATTGTTAAGATTGTTTGTAGACTCTCTTATATATATATTACTTTGAAATTACTAAGACATACACACACACGTACATACAAGATGAAGTTCTCAAAATTGAGCTTATTAGCATTATTATCTGCTACCACAATTCTTGGTCAACAAGTTGAAGGCGACAAAGAAATTCCAGAAAACGACGACACTATTGTCATCGACGGCTCTGCTAATGCAAATGAAAGACCAACTGCTAACGTTACTATCACCTATACTATCTTAGAGAAGCCACCATATCAAATTAATGATTTCTTGGAATTCGAAACTGAAGACGTTGCTACTTTAAACTACACTATCACAAACAACGAAAATGTTAACTATACTCTAAATTCTGTCGGTGGTGCAATTATGAGATTTGAAGATAGTGTCACTGCAGCAAATATTACATCAGGTAAATTCGATCCTGTATTAAGATTGAACGTTAACCAAACTGTGTCAGTTCAACAAAGAGTCACTTTCTTAGATATGAAAGATGACGACTACTATATCCAACCAAAAGTCTACGTTCAAGAATTGGATTCTCCAAAAGAATTGGAATTGGGTGCCCCTTTAACTTTAATGACAATTATGAAACCACCAATGTCGTTATTTGATCCACAATTCTTATCTATTCAAATCTTAATTGTTGGTGTTATTGGTGCTGTATCTTACTTCTTTTTAAATTATACTTTAAATGGTAAGAAAAAAAATAATAACAATTCTAACAAGACTACCAATGCTAACAATAAGAAAATCGACACTTCTTCTTTCTTACCTGAACAATACAAGAAGTAATAAATAACAATATATACTATATATATATATATATATGTGTCTGCATAAATTGTATAATTACTAAGTATCATATTTTTTTTAAAAACAAACTAAGCCTTCTTTGCTTGGTCTTGTTATATACTCGTCGTACCCTCTATGAAATCATGATATCTAAACGTAGATCTTTTATTATAATAATAATACTAAACGTCTCGTTTCGTTCGTAAAACCAAAAAAAAATATAATTGAAATCTGTAGGGAACGACTACAAAATCATAGAGAGTGCCTAGCGAAGCCATCAGCCTTATATCATCATCATCATCACCATCATCGTATCGTACCTGTGTCTACAACCGTTGTCGTTTCTTATTCTCTCTATTTCTACCCGTCTCGTACAATTAGTTATTCAGCTCTGCGACTGTAACGTAACGTAATCAGCCCCAGCGAAGAGAAAACGGAAAAATTTCACTCTCAAAGGACAGAGAAAGAGACGCAACAAGATTTATTAAAGGAATGAGAACAAGCCGCACCCACCAAACAGGGAATAATGCCAATTGGCATTCACTCTCACTGTCGTTTTTAGTTCCCGAAACCGTTTCGGTAGCTGATTGTTTTTTATCAACGAGACATACCTGCAAAACAAATGTTTGAACTATTAGAATCTACCTGCTTGTACGTCACTTTGATTACTACCATCCTACACATGTGTTTATCATATTAAATGAGGAAAATGGTGTGGGTTAAACAAGAAAGACACTGCAATTTCCACCTGCTTCTTTAACGAGCTACTCTATAGCAACCAAAACAATCATCTTTGTATAGTCTTCTTCTTTTAATGATGTTTATTATTGCATCTTCAACGTTTTCACAAATATAATTGTTTGCTCGCTTTCTTCGAGGAAACCACCAATATATGCAAGTATGTCTTTTTTTCTTTTTCGTGGATACAGACTAACTACAATAGTAATGGGGTTTTGATGTGTTATTCTTGTTGTATCTTTGCCTGGGTGCCTAAGTACAATTAAGATATCTGTAATTTCTAATGGAATTTTCATCATAACTGAAGTTTTGTGCAACTCCTCATCGTTACCTTCTACTTTTTCATTGGGTTAATATACGAACAATGAAATATGCAATGTATGTCACCAAAGAGAAGACAAGCAAAAAAAAATATTGGAGAAAAAACAACCTTCTAATGAGGTAATCAAGCAGTATAAACACAACAAGAAGAAATATGGCTACAACCCTTCCTACTTTCTACTTTACTTTCAATTGGATTCATAAACGACCATACGAATAGATACCATACTAACAATTCTAATCAATTGAGTATAGATCATCAATCTAACATATATTCATATATAAATATATATATATATATGAGCAATTTGATTGATCACCTCTAATTCATGATAAACTCAAAAATTTAATATCTTTATTCGTAATGTTTTCTGTATCATGTTTTTTTTTTTAATCTTAACTCACCACAAACCATCAATCGTAGATATACACACATACATATAGACTCTTTTTTTTACTCATCTTTCCTGTTGATTAAATGTCTATATCAAAATATTTCACACCGGTGTCAGATGCATCGGTCACATTTGATAATTGTGACATTAAATTAGATACTACTACAATATCTAATGAAGATGGCGCGGCTTCTAATACCCAGATTAATGATATTACTTTTAGAGCTGAAGGTGGAGAAATGGTTCTGGTATTAGGGAATCCTACTTCTGCCTTTTTCAAGACTTTATTCCATGGCCATAAGGATTTAAATTATTCTCCAGCTGGATCTGCTAGGTTTAAGGAAAATGATTTCAAACAATTCTCAATTAAATGTCCACATCAAATTGTTTATAATAATGAACAAGATATTCATTTCCCATTTTTAACCGTTGAACAAACTATTGATTTTGCTTTAAGTTGTAAATTTGATTTACCAAAATCTGAAAGAGATTCCATTAGAGACGAATTGCTTAAAGAATTTGGGTTATCTCATGTATTAAAAACAATTGTAGGTAACGATTTCTTTAGAGGTGTCTCTGGTGGTGAACGTAAACGTATCTCTATCATTGAAACATTTATTGCTAATGGGTCCGTCTATTTATGGGATAATTCTACCAAAGGGTTAGATTCTTCAACTGCCTTGGACTTCTTATCTATTTTACAAAATATGACTAGAGCAACTAATTCTGTTAATTTTGTTAAAATCTCTCAAGCTTCCGATAAAATCGTTAATAAATTCGATAAAATCTTAATGTTTACCGATTCTTATCAAGTCTTTTATGGTACTTTAGATGAATGTATGTCATATTTCTCTAAAGATTTGGGAATCCCAAAGAATCCAAATGATTGTATTATTGAATATTTGACCTCAATCTTGAATTTCCAATTTAAAAATCAAAATAATCATATGACCACCAACTGGACTATTACTGCTACCGACACTGCGGACATTTCAGATTCTTCTACCGATTTGAAAGCCAAAACAAATGTTGAAATAACCGATGTTTCATCTCCAAGTACAAACATTAGAAATGAATTCGATTTACATAGATATTGGATTAGTTCTGCAATTTATGAAAACTTGAAGCGTATAACTTCATCTGTGTCATCCAACGAAACTCATTTGGGTAATGTCAATACAGAAGATATTACCACAGCTAGAAACATCCCATTATCTAGACAAATTAAACTGGTAACTAAGAGAGCCTTCCAAAGAAGTCTGGGTGATAAAATCTATTTGTCCGCACAATTAATGTCTGTTATTATTCAATCGTTAGTGATCGGGTCTTTATTCTACGATATTCCATTAAATACGATCGGTTCTTACTCGAGAGGTTCGCTTACTTTCTTCTCTCTACTGTTCTTCACTTTCCTATCCTTGGCAGAAATGCCTGCTGCTTTCCAAAGACAACCTGTTATTGGCAAACAAACTCAATTACATTTCTATTACAGTTGGGTAGAAGTTCTGGCTACAACAACTTTTGATTATTGTTACAAATTGTTACTGGTTATCGTCTTTAGTATTTTATTATATTTCTTAGCCCATTTACAATTTAATGCTGCAAGATATTTCATCTTTTTATTGTTCTTATCCATTTACAACTTTAGTATGGTCTCTTTATTCTCTTTAACTGCTTTGATGACTCCAACTTTATCCATCGCTAATCTTTTTGCCGGTATTTTATTATTAGCTATTGCAATGTACGCTTCTTATGTTATTTATTTGGCTAATATGCATCCATGGTTCGTATGGATTGCATACATAAATCCTGCTAGATATGCAATGGAGACTATTCTTTCCAATGAATTATTCAATTTGAAATTAGATTGTAGAGACACTATTATCCCAAGAGGTGACACATATAATAATGTTTCCTTCTCCAACAAAGCTTGTGCTTGGAGAGGTGCCACTTTGGGTAATGACTATGTCAGAGGGAGAGATTATTTGGACCAAGGTTTAGAATACGCTTACAATCATACATGGAGAAATTTTGGTATCTTGATTGCTTTCTTAGTGTTTTTCGTAGGTTGTACTCTATTTGCTGCTCAATATATTAAACCTTTATACCAGGACGGTCACTGGAAGAAGGTGCTAACTAGATATTTCCCATTCATTGCAAGACATGCTAATGTTTTAATCGACGAAACAGATCCTGATAAAGAAATAATTGCTGCTCGTGATTTGTATTATGATAACCCATCTGATTTTTCCACTGGACTTGGGAAGGAGACTAATTCTTTCGACATTAAATCTGCCTCTGCATCTGAAAGTGGTATATCTGAACGTGTCGAGACTCAAAGTCACATTATCTCCTGGAAAAATATTAACTACACAGTTGAAGGTGACAAACAATTAATTGATAATGTATCTGGTTATATTTCGTCTGGTTTGACTGCCTTAATGGGTGAATCTGGTGCTGGTAAGACTACTCTATTGAATGTTTTGTCTCAAAGAACTGAAAGTGGTGTGGTGGAAGGTGATATTCTAATTGATGGTAAACCTTTAACTGATATAGATTCGTTTAGAAGAAGTATCGGTTTTGTTCAACAACAAGATTTACATTTGGAAAAATTAACTGTTTATGAATCGTTAGAAATTTCTTGTTTGCTAAGAGGTGACGGTGATAAAACTTACATCAATACTATATCCGATCTTTTGAAACTGCCATTAAACAAATTGGTTGCCACTTTAACTCCAACTCAAAAGAAATTGCTATCTATTGGTGTTGAATTAGTTACTAAACCTTCCCTACTGTTATTCCTCGATGAACCTACTTCTGGTCTAGACGCCGAAGCTGCTTTAACTATTGTTCAATTTTTAAAGAAATTATCTATGCAAGGTCAAGCTATTTTCTGTACTATCCATCAGCCTAGTAAGAGTGTTATTAGTTACTTCGATAATATCTTTTTGCTAAAGAGAGGCGGTGAATGTGTATACTTTGGTCCTACTGAACAAGCCTGTGATTACTTCACACATAATGATAGATCACTAACTTACGACACTGAAAACGAAAACCCAGCTGATTTCATCATCGATGTTGTTGGTAGTAACGATGGTAATCTGAATGAAGAGAAACATGATATTAAAATAGGACCAAGCAAATGGTCGCAAACCTGGAATCACTCGCCTGAAAGAACACAGGTCGAACAAATGCAAATAAAACTAGAAGAAGAAGCTGTCATGTCTGGTGTAGATTTTACGCAGAATGTCTGGAAACAACCAAGCTATATGGAACAATTGATGGTTATCTCAAAAAGACAATACACTGTTACAGCTAGAGACAAGACTTACGTTGCTGCTAAATACTTATTAAATGCTGGTGCTGGTCTATTTATTGGGTTTTCTTTCTGGAATATCAAACCAAACATTAGTGGTCTACAAGATACTATTTTCTTCTGCTTCATGGCCTTATGTGTTTCTTCTCCATTAATCAACCAAGTCCAAGACAAAGCTCTTCAAAGTAAAGAAGTGTATGTTGCTAGAGAAGCTAGGTCAAATACATTCCACTGGTCCATTCTTTTGTTGGCTCAATTGGTTATTGAACTTCCTTTGGCTATCACTAGTTCTAGTTTATTCTATGTTTGTGCATTCTTCTGCTGTAAGTTCGATAACTCTCCTCATATTGCTGGTGTTTGGTATTTCAATTATATCATATTTGCTGCCTATTATCTAACTTTTGGTTTATGGCTAATCTTTACTGCACCAAATTTACAAACTGCTGCTGTTTTTGTTGCTTTCTTCTACAGTTTTACTGCATCGTTTTGTGGTGTTATGCAACCTTATGGTATGTTCCCTGGGTTCTGGAAGTTTATGTACAGAGTCTCGCCATATACATATTTCATTGATACATTTGTTAGTTTACTATTGCATGACAGAGAAGTTATTTGTGATAACATGGAATTAGTTCCAGGTCAACCTACGATTGGTCAAACTTGTGGTCAATTTATGGAAGCATATATTGATGAATTTGGCGGTTATTTGAAGAACGCTAACACAATGACTGTTTGTGGTTATTGTACTTACTCAGTCGGTGATGATTTCTTAGAAGTCGAGGGTATGAGTTATAATAATAGATGGAGAAACTTTGGTATTGAGTGTGCTTTTGTTGCATTTAATATTTTTGGTATGTTTATGGGCTATTACCTGACATATCTATCTAACTTTTGGCCCCTACTTTTCAAGTTCATCAAGAAGGCCATTCCTTCTAGAAAAATGTTCCAAAAAAAATAATACCCATAATATAATTATATTATAACGCAATCTTTGCATGTATATTAATAAATTTACGTCACTTAATTAAATTTTTATAGAAATCACATCCTTTTGTATTGACTTCCACTACTTATTTTCTGGTGTTAAATTACCTATTAAACAGATAACTTAAGGTGGGATATGAAATAACTAATTATTACTTTTTTCAATTCACAACTACGTTTCATGCAATTTCAAAAACTCTATTTATGCTATTTAGCAAAATTCAACAAAACGGAAAGTTAACTGTAACTGACGGTATTTTAAGCAAAAAAGAATAATGTTTTTTGTTAAACAGAGGTGCTGTTGTTAAACTGCTCATCTTTTGTGCATAGTGACATTAGACAATATAGCTTCAATAAACCCAATGTAGGGGAAACAAATACTACATTATGCAGTATATATCATGTGTTATTATATATACGACAGTGCAGCACACTCTAAATTCTACTTATATTAGCT